AAAAAAAAAAGTTGATTACCACAATTTTAACAAATTTTCAAAATAATTTATAAATTTTTTGAAAAATTCTGATTTTCAACATATTTTTTTAATTGTTCGTTTTTTCATTGACATTTCAAAAAAAAATATATCAAAAAAAGATCAAATAGAAATTTTATCCAAAAACATGAGAGTCAAAATTTTTTCCAACTTTTGAAGGCAAAAAAGCTATCGAAATCTGCCATAAAAACAAGCAGAATAAAAAAAATATGAATTAATGTGTTGTAATCCGAGGATTAAGGATCATGAAATAAGTTAATACTAGATTTTTATTTTACGCAACGTTTCGGAGTTTATTACTCCTTCCTCAGGCGTCTGTGGAAACATACAAAATTTATACAATTAATTATTTAATACAGAACAACACCTCAAAATCTCTTAACAAACTCAATATCACATACCATAAAAGATTTATGTATTAACTTCGTCAACAAACAATAAATCTAGTATTAACTTATTTCATGATCCTTAATCCTCGGATTACAACACATTAATTTAATTCAATGTCAGGATCGGAATATCTCTTATAATGAATTTAATTTTTATAAAATTCTAAAAAAATTTCTAATGGCTGTCAGTGTTATAAAATTTTTTGGGTGTTAGTTATTTCAGTATCATTTACTCTAAAATTATTGTTGGCAGTCATATTAATGTCTGATATTATTAGACATAACTGTCTAATAAAAGTTTGACATTGAATTTTTTTGAATTTGTCAAAGCTACTTTTTAATTTTTTTTTACTAGTCTACAAAAATTGTCATAAAAAAATCTACGGTTTTTTACTGCGTAGGTTAATTTATTTATATACTTAAAATCTTCAAAACAAAGTTGATAAAAAAAGCTAGCATGCACAAATAATGATACGACAGTTTGATAAAACAAAGAGGGCTTTGTGAACTACCTGACCCTCTAAAAATAGTCCAAGTGTCTGGAACGTGCTCAAAGGGTTTTAATTTCACACTCCGTAATAACAAAAAAAATATACAAAAATTAAATAGACGTTTATATTTATATTAATATTTGTGGTCTTGATAATAATGACTAGAGAGAAATATTAGTTAAATTTGAAAATAAAACTCAGGTGAAGCAGAATAAAGAGTCACACGATGGTGACCGAGCCCTGAAACTCAAGAAATTAAACTCCAAGAAGAAGAAATTCGCTCGGAGAAAACAACTTATTCGTGCTGCCAAAGGTAGAAGAAAAGAAACAGAATCAAGGCTTTTAATAATACGTGACAAACTTGCCCTTTTACGCATTAACCCGCACTTTTAATGCTCTCTTCTATAACATTTTACTTTATTTATTTATTTATTTACTTAGACAAATAGATAGATTAACGATAGTAGTCTTTTACTTATTTTATTGCATGTCAATAGCTATAATAAAATAACATGCAATTTTGGTAATCTAACAAATTGTACCGAGCCCGGAGTAATTGGATGCGTGGGTGATCCATAATTTAATCTGACATAAATGTATGCTGGAGATTTTGATCACAAATTCTGGCTTATGAATAATTGATTTAAAAAATTTTAAATTAAATAAAAATAAATTTTTAAATTGAAATTTATTATTAAAAATTTGTGTGGACATTTTTTCTCACGCAAACTATAAAATGGAAAAGATTTGTCAGTAATCAATTCCCAGCACTTTTTTACGCAGCAGATAAAGTTTTATCAATGATTGATTTTCTTCTCACGTTACGTTGATTTATTAAATTACGTATTTTTTATTCAAAATTCAGTAGTTATTTTTTATCTTATATTATCGTGACATTTTGTTTAATTGATGGAAATATTTTAATGCTAAATAGAGCACACTGACAATAGTGATGGTAATATTATAATATAATAATATTGAATAAAAAATAAAATAAAAAGAAAAACCAATTATTCTTGGCTCAATAACTTTACAAACGTCTATGACACATAAACTCCATCGAACGTGTGTGGCAAAAGTACACGTGTCTATTGAGAGTACAAAAGCGTCATGCCGATGTATCATGAGTTGAATTATGTTGTGTTTTATTCTGTTCTGTTCTGTTCTATTATATTTTATTCTCTATTATTAAATTGCATTGTTGTAAAAGCGTAACAAAAATCCGAATGCTGTTTCAGTGTTGAGAATGCAGTCGCAGAAGCATACGGAGTCAGACGCTAAGAGCGAAGCTAGCAGAGGCGGTGGAGATGCTGAGGGTGCTGTGACGCCGGGGAGTGTTTTCAAAGGGGAAGGTGCTAAGGAATTTCTTACAACCGGGAGGACGGGGAGAAGAAATGCCATGCCTGATATCTTGGGTCAACATGCTAAGACAGGGACGGGTGATTTACCCTCACTTCTTGAGTCTCTCACCACTAAATCAGGTACTATTGACTTTTTTCTATCAATATTAATGTCATTAAATAAAGTGACTTTCCAACTTAAAACTAGCTGAGAGATAGAATAGTAATTTAAACAACATTCATTAATTAAAAATTTATTTACAATTTTAAAAGAAATTTTGTTAAATATTCTTTACAATTTTTTTTTATTTGACGTTGAATTATTTTGATAATCAGTTTTTATAAATTTTGGTATTATCTATATCATTGATAGAATTAGCGAAATTTTGTGCATTCGAAAATACTCTATCTCTAGATACATACAGTCAAAACCGTTAGCGACTTCGCTTGTTAAAGCGACCTGCCGGTTATTACGACGAAATTTTCAAGTCCCGTCTCTATTACATATAAAACACTCAAGCCGAAAACTGCTTATAACAACATTGCTTATAGCGACAAATCGTTTATAGCAACTGAATTCACAGTACTCATAGTAGTAAACTCATAGCAAAATGCATCGGTTATAGCGTCTGACAAATATTTTCATTCATTTTGCAGTAAATATACTTATGATGTCATCAAATTCTTTTGCAGCTTTAAATTAATGAGGATCACAATTTTCATTTTAGTTAATAGTCTTACAAGTTATACAAAACACTTTCGTTCTTTGTCATAATAATTCTTACACTTTCGTTCTTTGGCAAAATAATTCTTTGACAATGTCAAAAAGAAAACGGAAAGTCTTCGACATAAATGAAAAATCTCACATAATTTTTCAAAAATAATTATGTTTATTAAATGTAGCATTGAAATTTATACGTAGTTTTATTAAAAACTATTTTATTAAAATGTTTAATAAATTAATTTATGTGTAGTTTAATAAATGTTCATGAAGTATTGTTTTTGAATTTAATCCGTGCATTTTTGTTTTCGAATATAACCCATGCATTGCTAGTTTTTACTTATAACGACTATCGGCTATAACGACCATTAACAGGAGGTCCCTTCAATGTTGTTATAAGCGGTTTTCACTGTAATTAATAAATGAACCTGTATCTCGTGAACTATTGTCATTTTTAAAGATATAAGCTCATCTCGATGTTACACTCATCAAGAGCTTTCATTTGAGTACCCACATCAATTTTTCATATATTTTTATATATATATATATATATATTATATCTGTATATATGAAAAGTATATCAAAAATGCATGTGGGTACTCAAATTAAAGCTCTTGATGTGTTTAACATCAAGATGAGCTTATATCTTTAAAATATATATTATATATATGTATATATGAAAAATATATCAAAATGCATGTGGGTACTCAAATGAAAGCTCTTGATGAGTGTCACATCGAGATGAGCTTATATCTTTAAAAACGTCAATATTTAAGAAAGTACAGTGCAAATTTAACTAAAGCCATTATTTAATAAAGCAAAATTTTATTTATTTATAGTTCACAAGTTACGGCAGGTACATAGTGACTGCAAGATTGCTAGTTTTTTTTTTTTTATTTTCAAATTAATTTTAAATAATTTATACGAAATAAATTTATTGTCAACTATACGGAAGATTATAATTTTATTTTATTATCGGGTTGGTTAAAAATCTCATTGATGCTTTATTTTATTTATTTTATGAGCACAAAAAACTTGGTACTAGATAATTGATAATAAAAAAGCTAGTTTTTTTATTTTTAATATCTATTCTAATTAACTTTGCTCGTGAAACAATAAAGGTATTACTTCAACCAAAAATAATTGACCCAATTAATGGAAACAGTACAAAACGTATGACAATTTAAATTGGTGTGTAAATTGAAACAAGATCAATGATGAAAAAATTTTTAAGAAATATTTTTATCGATCACCTCTGAGATAATATGTAGTGACAAAAAAAAAATTCACTTTAGTAGTATTGATTTAACTATAATATTTAATTATAAAAACTCGATATTTAAAACGAGTACGAATAAAAATTGATTTTTATAATGAAATAAAAAAATTATACTGTAATGCAAAGAATATAATTAAACTCGTGACCTGACGTAATTTTATCATATTTATATCGATCGTTACTATTTAGTAACTTGACTAAGCAGCTCGCTTCACTAAGTAACTTTGTTAGAGGAACGAAATTTAATTATATAATAATAATAAGTTAACGGAGTTTCAAATAAGATGAACAAAAAAATCTAATTATTTACTGTAAAGTTACAAACAAAATCTAAATTAGTTTAATTGATAAGTCACTTTGTTTGATAGTAAATTTAATTGAGTAACTTGAAAGTATGTCAAAAAATAGATCAATAAAGTGTTGTTATATATAATGAAATTAATAAATGATTAATTATTTTTAGATCAACCCAGCACGAGTGGTACGGATCAAAGTGGCTCGTCGACCTCTCAACAACAGAAGGGTTGACGTAAGACAAAATTTAATTCTCATGATAATTATTTCCCAAGATATTTTGTCTTGATGTACATATTTCCAACAAAACTGAAGGATCAATTAAGTAACAGCTAAAAAGTAAATATATTAACTGATTTTGATAACGGTGATGTAATTAAAGTGTTATCAACGACATCCAGAATCATACTCACATACTAAGACTGTTAATTAATAAATTGTCATCAAGAATAATTTATCTTAAGACTTGAACCGGCGTAGATCTTGATTACTGTAGATTAAAAAAATTTTTCAAATTTATGTATACATATGCATACACATATATATATAAATATGTACATTAATTGTCGTGAAACGGCATTAAAATTGTGTGATAATTAATGAATTATTTTTAAAGAAAAGTGCGTGAATTTGAATTCGTAAATGGGATTAGTATTTCATCTTAACATTAATTTAAAAAAAATTTTTTTTTGTATCTTATTACACCGATCGCAGATTTTGTACCTTTGATAATTACTTACGGCTATAAGGCTCGTGGAGTTTACTGATAGATTTATTTAATGTTATCTGTATTGCGTGTGTGTGTGTGTGTGTGTGTGTGTGTAAGTCGAAGCGGGATTTGCAATATAATTGACTAGTCCATAAACTTTATAAATATTTAAATTTAGCATCCGATTAGGTACTCATTTTATTTAAATAATAAATTATTTTTTCTCTCTAGAATTATTATAATGCATATTGATTAATAATTGCATATGTATTAATATTAAACGAAGCTGTGGCCTATAACTTACTACCAGTCAGTATCGCACAATTATAATTATAATTCTATAAAAAAAAAAAAAAAAAAAATATTTATTTTAAATCATCTATATATATTTCAACGGTTTAATTAGCAATTTGTCTAATCCTTATTTTTTAGAGGGTGATTTTTTAATATTTTGATGTAGCAATAGTCCAATTATGAATTATTTGAATGATTCAAACTAAAATATTATACCTTTATTAGAAATTAAATGATTTTTTAAAGTGATGATAAATTTTGAACTAATTATTTTTTTTGTACAAATGGAAGACTCTCTAAAATTAAGTTAGACAATTTGCTAATTAGAATATTGATTATGTTTTGCGTATTTATTTTTTCAAATTTATAACTTAATAAACTAAAACTCTTGAGAATTGTCAAGACTCGATATGATACTTATAGATAAGGAACCGCATTGAGTGAAAACTATTTTTACCTATCGATCGTTAACGACAAAAGCTCTCACTATAAATTCCACGTTATTCCACCGAAACAAACGAAAGATCAACCATGATATTGAATAATAATTAAAGTTATAAAAATTATTATGTAAAACACAGCTTCATCAAAATTATGTATTAACATTTTATTGTATATTTCTTAATTATAATTTACTATTTCATAACTCTAGTCAAATGAAAAAGTGAAAATGTAATATGAATTAATTAAAATGTTTGTTTATGTAACTATTTTTTTGTGTAAATAAACCGCTCTCTTTGCCTCTTGAAATGAAAATTTGTCCTCTTGGTGATTTTCAAGGCACGTCCAAATTTTTTATAGACAAAGGACTTACTTGAATGTAGTTAAATGTATCTATCAATAAAGAACATTTTTTCATATAAAGAATTTTTATTAATCAATAAAAATGTTTATACGGAAAAAAGTAAACTGTAAAATTCCCTCAGATTCCGGTTAATTTTTATAGTTTCATACAGCGGACATCGCGGTGGTTCAAATGTAATTATTACAAAACTTAATAATGAAAGTGTAAAAGCCACAATTTATAATTTAATATCGAAAATGTGGTTAGTAGCTGTCACTATAGTAAATAACAACTCTCTCATCTCAAAAAATTACAATTTCAAACAGTAAAAATTGCCGTTTCAATATTGATAAAAAAATCAACTTGACTCAAGAGTCAAAATCTTGAACTGAGAATACTATTTTGAAAAAAATGATTTTTTTGAGTCAAGAAATTATTCTTGATTTAAGTAAATTTTTTTTGTCTCAAGAATTTATTCTCTGACTCAAGAATAGTATTTTCTTCCATGTAAATAATAAATTATAGCATTTAAATGATAAATTTTATAAAGTCGCTAGAGAATTTTTTAGTTTTTTTTTTTAACGAATTTGGTCAAAAAAGTTACTTTTAAAAAATTGCATTTTTTATCTTTTTAAATTTCTACATGTCAATTTTTTTTTCTATTTTTTTTTTTGCCATAATTTATTAAAAACAAAAAAAATTCTAAAAATTATTAAATATCTGCTAAATTTATTATAATTAAAATCACGATTTTACTGTTTGAAATAGTAATTTTTCCAGTTGATCATTACTTATTATAAATCGATAATACTGGACAGCTATTTGATGATTTTTAGGATTTTTTTAAACAAATAAATTATTAAAATAATACTCTTCTAAAAAATTCCACTTGTAGATGCCAGAAAAATTTATTGTTGCCTTTTTTTAAATGTTTTTTGTAATAGTAATTTATTTGTTGTAAAAATCCAAAAAATTAACAGTTGTTAGCTAACATCAGCTTCACCTAAATCGACTATTACTTATTACAGTTTACTTTTTTTCGTGTATAGAACTATATTTAAATAATAGAGTGTAACATATATTCTGTAAGCGTTTCTCATAATCATGTCCTATAAAAAAAAAAAAAAAAAAAAATTGTAAACTCTGATGACAGTGCAATTGTTATATCCATCGTTCCTGTGGGAACTTTGCGTTCAAGGGAATGCTGTTATCAAAGTTATTAGATTCTCTCGCCAACATGTCATTCAATGCACGTTTCATATAATGAAATTACTTGTTTGTGTTCGACACAGTTATTCATGTCTAATATATATATATATATATATATAAGGATGCACTTAACATTGTCAATCCTGACTTGAAATAATTAGAAAAAAAAATACCAATTACTGTGATAAGAATAATATTATAAGTTATCAACCATCATGCGCTTAAATGACAGCAAATAGTTTGAGTTAAACATCAGACATGACCATCTATTCCGTTTAACAATTCAGTTAAGTACACCTCACGTGTAAGAGAAAATTATAACAGTTGATATATCACATCGAGTGCGGCAATCGCCTGCATTGCTGGACAAATACTGTACATATTTATTTTCACTGACATGCGAGTTTGCACACCGACTAAGCGAAGGGTTGTCGGAAGGATTAATCGTCCGGCAGAATCCTCCGCGACATTATTTAAAACTCGCGTTTCAAGTTTCACTCCACCTTTTTATTCCTCTGATTGATTTGCTCTAAAAATTTTTCCATGATACGTCCGGTTGATAAATCTGGACAGCTAGCTCTGGTTGTTGCTGAAATAAAACAAAAGTGAGTAATTTTTTATTAAACGAAAATAAAGTTAGCCGACATCTAAAAATTTTTTTTATTAAAAAAAAATTTGTTCTAAACTTCAAAAAACTTTAAGTGCAATTTTTTAAAAATATTTTTTAGTTATAATTTATTAAATTAAATTAAGAAAAATATAAAAATCAAAAATTTCAGCTAACTTTATTAATAGTTTTTTTTTAAGTGTGTAGAATATAAATTTAAATAAAACTTATTACAATTTTTCTTCTCTATATACTTTTGTCAATCATCTAAACTGACAATCGTTAAATTCTCGTTTACTATTGTCACTCAGCTTTTGCTTGCTGATGCTCTAGAATAACGAATTACTCGATTGAGTAAATAGTTGCTGGACAGTTGTTAGAGATGTAAATAACACAATATTTTTTATCAGTTATACTCGGTGTTTTATTCCAGAGGCCAGCCATCTGAACCCGTGTTCAATACCTGGAATTTACCAAAAAAAAGTCAGTGAGTTTTGTTACATATTATTGATAATTTTTTATTTTGTTTATTTATTGTAAGTGTTTATTAGAATCAGGAAAAATGAGAAATTCAGATTGTCTTCATGTTGCTCTAAGGCCTGTTCTTACTCTGGCCCAGTGTTTTGGGCTTTTTCCAGTCAACGGAATTCGAGCACCTGATACTTCTGGTCTCACGTAAGTCATCCATTTAATAATTCAAATTTTGGTACTAAAATCAGCAAACATACTTTTTTTTATTTTTATTACGAATAAATTATAAAAAAAAAAATATTTTTTAATAATTTTTTCAAATTTCTGGATTACCAATTTTGTTGATAAATTTTTTTTTATTATAATCTATTATTAAATTTATTATTTTTAGATTCACTTGGAGAAGTTTTAAAATTTTGTATTGTCTATTGGCACTTTTTATATCGATGACTATGACAATATGCAGCTTTATTCGCATCATTTCAACAAAATTTCATACTGCCAAAATGAGTAAGTTTTAATAATTAATAATGAAAATTAAGTTAGTCGAGATCTAAAAATTTTTAGAATTTTTTTTTATTGAAAAAAATTAATACAAAAAAATAAAAAAAAATTTCATTTGTAAAAAACTTGAAAAACTTTAAATGCAATTTTAAAAAAATATTTTTTTGTTCTAATTTAATTATTAAAGAAAAATCAAATAATTAAAAACGTCGGCTAACTTAAGTTATATTATTTAATATATTTAGTATAGAATTTTTGTTCCAAATTTTATAATAAATAATTGAAAATGATATATCATTTTTTATGAAAATTTATTAAATTTTAATCATTTTTTTTAAAATTATTTTTCGGAAAAAATTTGTTTGTTAATAAAATTATCAAGTGACTGCTAACTTTAACGTCATAAAAAATTTTTAATGTCTCAACTTTAGATAATAACTTACATTGTTTTTTTTTTTTTACAGCAACTTTGGTATTTTCGGTATCATCTTGCTTAACAAATATAATATTCTTGAAACTGGCAAGAAAGTGGCCAGAATTTGCCGCCTCGTGGGAAAAAGTAGAACAGGAAATAAAAGTCCGGTATCGTCAACCACCCAAATATTCTTTGATAAAAAGATTTAAAATAGTTACAGTAATAATAATCACGCTTGCATTTTGTAAGTAATTACTTTTTCTTCTCTTATAAATTAAATATAAACAGCTGATCTAACCAGTAACAAAATTGATGATTCTGAAATTGAAAAACATGTAATAATTTTTTTTTACAAATAAATTATGGCAAGAAAAATTTATTTAAAAAATTTCATACTTAGAAACTCTAAAAAAATATATAAATCCAATTTTTTTTTTAATAATTTTCTAGGCCTGGTTTATTTTTAAAGAAAAATAAAATTTTTAAGTGTCTGCTAATTTTAGTATCATAAAAAATTAACAGGTGAACATGCTTTATCACTCGCATCAGGATATATCAGCGCCCGTGAATGTGCAGCTCTTCGCGGCGATACTGACGTCACGGCTGTTTACTTCAGTACTCAATTTCCTCAAGTGTTTACTAGAATACCTTACGCACTATGGAAAGGAATTGTCGTACAGTTTACCCAGATCCTAACAACTTTTTCATGGAATTTCATGGACCTGTTTCTTATTTTAATGTGCACGGCATTAACTCATCATTTTCGTCAGCTGAATGAACGTCTCAATAATGTTAAAAATAAGGTAAAATTTCAATCACATGATCATAAAAAATGAAGAAATACAGAGAATTTTATTTTATTATACGACACTTAAGTTAACAATCATTTAACATTTTTTTAATTTTATTTAACAAGAAAACTTTTTCCAAAAAATTATTTTAAAAAAATTGCATTTTTAAATATTTAAAATTTCTACACGGAAAGAACAAAATTATACTGGATATAATCCCAGACAATACTGAGTGAAAAAAAATTTCAGATAGTAGCTAGTATAATCCAGATAACAATGAGTATAATCCAGATATTATTCAGTATAATCTGGATTATACTAGCTAACATCTGAAATTTTTTTCACTTCAGATGTCACTGAGTATAATCTGAGATGGTATGCAGTGTCATCTTGTTCTTTCCGTGTACATAACAAAGTTTTTTTTAATTTTTTTGCTATAATTTATTTGTTAAAAAATTTTTTTTAATTATTAAATATCTGCTGAATAAATTTGTATTTTTATTAGACAATGCCTGAGTGGTGGTGGGCAGAAGCTAGATCTGATTACAATAGTCTAGCAAATCTTACCCGACAAGTTGATTCTTATGTTGCGGATATTGTACTTCTTTCCTTCGGCACTGATCTTTACTTCATTTGTCTTCAATTGATGTATTCATTCGAGTAAATACCAAATAAATAATAAATCATAAATAATAAATTTAAATTTAAATTTAAATAAATCAATTATTAAAAAATTATTTTGATATTTCAGCCGCATGACTAGTTTCATGAGAACTATTTATTTGTGTTACTCCTTTGGATTTCTTCTTGGCAGAACAACCGCAGTGTCACTTACAGCAGCCTCTGTTCATGATGAATCTTTATTACCGGCTCCTGTTTTATACGGCGTTCACGCATCAAGTTATTCTACAGAAGTATAATCAATATTAACTTATAAAAAAAATTAATAAAAATAATATTTTATTTTTTTTTTTAGGTAGTAAGATTTTTAACCCAAGTAACTACAGATAATATTGGTCTCACAGGTATGAAATTTTTTTCCATCACTAGAAGCTTCGTACTTACAGTAAGTATTTCTTCTTTATTTTTAAATAATTAAATGATACATATCACAATAACATTATGAAAATTAATTTAGCAGATATTTAATCGTTTTTAAAAATTTTTTTTGACAAGTAAATTATGGCAAAAAAAAAATTATAAAAAAATTGACATGTAGAAATTTTAAAAAATTAAAAATGCAATTTTTTTTTAATAATTTTTTGGAACAAATTTATTTGTCAAAAAAAAAAAACTAAAAAATAATTAAGTGACTAACTTGAATGTCATTAAATTAGAACTAAAAAATATTTTTAAAAAATTGCACTTATAGTTTTTCAAGTTTTTTTACAAAATAAATTTTATTTTTATTTTTTTTTAATATAAAAAAAATTATTAAAATTTTTAGATGTCGGCTAACTTAATTTTCATCCATAATTATTATAATTTTAGGTTGCCGGCACCATTGTCACGTATGAGCTGGTACTGGTACAATTTAACAATGTTCAACAAACGAGCCCCTTAAATATGACGAATGTATGCGAGGTGAAGTAATACCGCAATGCTCCTATATTTTATGGCAAATTTAATCAATCAATGCACTTATGATAATAAATCTTATACTATAATCATTACTTTCTTTAAATAATATTTTTTCAGTTGTTAAAGGAAAATAATTAATCAGCTACTCAAAGGTATTTGGGTTTCTTGTGCATCATTAAAAAGAAGTTTTATTTTTAAAATATTTTTTTCAACGCATCATTAAATATTATCAACAACATTTTTAATTTCCAGTGAAATATTACTTAAAAAAATAATTAATTTATTATCACACATTATCATTCTCAAAGTTAATATAAAAATGTAAAATTTATATAATTAATAAATAATTAAAACATGCGATGTTGTATTAATTAAATAAAAGGTTTTTTATTTGATTAATTTTTTTAATCACGTCGTTCATTACTTTTTTAATTATATTAATACATATATGTTATTTTATTATTTTTATTTCTTCATTGCTACATTAAATTGCAGCAATACAACTTCATAAGTAACGATTGCTCCAGCGACCTAAATCATAAGAAATTTAATTATTTATAATTAAATTAAATAAATTAATTTAAGTAATTAACTTACTGCAAGCATAAAATTCCTTGTAATATAAAAAAACTTCAATCCAGTTAATGCCACTTCATCAGTTGTTAATTGAAACTGAAGCCGCTGCATCTGGATAAAAAATCCATAATAAAATATTTGTTTGCAAATCTAATAACTGATGTTAGGAAAGTACATATTAAAAATAGGTCATACCTCAACAGTATAATTCACCGCAGTAGAATTGTAAAGTATTGGTAGAGCAACTTTACTTTGATCATTGATCCTGGCTGTAAATAAAGTTACAGCAATTGTTCTGGATAGTAAAAATGCAAAGGAGAAGAAAAAATACACTGTATTTAACATGCTCATATCTTCGGTCCTGTTGAAGAAATATTTTTAATAATTTATCATTTTTTTAATGAAAATTAAGTTAGCTGACATTTCAAAATTTCAATTAAAGAATTTAAAAAAAAATATCACATTAAAAAAATTTGAAAAACTATAAGTGCAATTTTTTATAAATAGCTTTTGAGCTATAATTTAATTAAAAAAAAAAAACAAACTCAAAAATTTTAAGACGTCTGCTAACAGTCATTTTTTTTTAAGGGGGATAGCCACTGTGAGGATTGAAAAAATAGGGAATTTTTTTGACTGGGATAATAAAGGAATTTGGGGATCGGGTTTTTTTTTGTTTTATAAAGTATACATTAAAGATCATTCTCCTAAATTTTGATTGAAAAATATCATGTTGTTACCAAGTTATAAGCATTATTGTGGAGCACCAAAAAAATTTCCCCCACCATGGTAAGTTCTCTAATTCAAAAACGGATTAAAAATTTTTTCGTTTTTTTTTTTTCTCATTTTTTTGGATTCCAACAGCCCTAAAAAATGACATTAAAGTAAGCAGTCACTTAACCATTTTTTAATTTTTTTTAACAAATAGATTTCTTCCAAAAAATTATTTTTATAAAATTGCATTTTTTATTTTTTAAAATTTCTATACGTCAATTTTTTTTTCTACTTTTTTTTGGATTGATTTATTTGTTAAAAAAATTCTAAAAATGATCAAATTATGCTAAATTTTCAATGATGATTTAGTAGATATTTAATAATTTTTTTTTACAAATAAATTATGGCCAAAAAAAATATAAAAAAAATTGACATGTAGAAATTTAAAAAAATTAAAAATACAATTTTTTAAAAATAATTTTTTGAAACAAATTTTTTTATAAAAAAAAATTAAAAAATTATCTAGTGACTACTAACTTTGTCATTAATTTTCATCCCTAAAAAATCTTAAAAAATTTTCATATAAAATTCTAGGTACATATTTTTTAATGTATAAACTTTGATTTAATAAAAAAAAAAAATTTCTTTTTTTAAATATCACAGTGGCTATCTTCCTTAAGTCAGTGTGGAAAAATAAAATTTCTGGGCCTTACGATAGACCATTAAGCAATTGGAGGCATATAAAATATAAATTATTAACGAATGATAACAAAATAACAGGTGACATGTCGCTATCAGTTCGTTTAACTAGACTACTCAAAGTAGCATAATTCTCTCTAAATTCTCCCCAATCGATATTTGAATTTTTAATCGACGAAGTCTTCAACAAATATTTATTCAAACTCTTGTATCTTTCAGCGAGGCCTGTTGACACCAGCATAACAAAAACATCTGTGAAATTCCACGTGAATGTCGCGATTTTGCTGAATGTGAATAAAAATATTCCTAATGCGACATTATAGTTTACTGAAAAAAAAATAATTAATTATTTATTTATTAAGTAGTAACTCTATTCATCATTTTTTTATAACTCACAGCTGCTGAGAATAAATGCATGAGATTTTTGGCTGTAAATTCTCAGTGAATCTTTCCAAGTGTTATTTGAGCTCTCCGATTCTTTATTATCGGGTAAATTCACCAGGATACTCAATACATGCTCAGTAAGGGCTAGAGTCATGATTGTAATTGCTATCGCGCGGAATTTCCAGCGAAGCCGCGGTCGCGATTGTTTACACCTATAATTTATCACGAACTATTATTATATCTAAATTACTGAGGCCTATTTATGATATGACATGTTACTTGAAACTTTCATCAATTATTTGTAGAATCAGGATAAAATATAAGTACGCGAGTTTTATAAAAAGTCAGTTACGAAAACAATTATTATATATTCTACTCGACTAGTTAATCTGATTATATTAAAATAAATTGAGATAAAACCTATCTAGTTGTAACTCCATAGATCTCCACTGTTGTTGAAGGCTAATCCATCGTGGAGATAACCACATGAATAATCCAAGGCCAAAGAGACTATTGCCATAAAAAACCGCACCTGCTGTTGCTGCTGCTATTCCTCCTGGAATATTATTATTTTTAGAATTGAATATTTTTTCCATTATCATTATCATGAATTTCTATTTAGGAAAAATAAGTGAACTATATATAAGTAAAATTGTGTTTTATTAAATGATGACTTTTGTTAAATTGCACTGTACATTTTTAAATATTGATATTTTTAAAGATATAAGCTCATCCCAATGTTACACTCTTCAAGAGCTTTCATTTGAATACCCACATGCATTTTTGATAAATTTTTCATATATACATATATATAATATATATAAATATATGAAAAATTGATGTGGGTACTCAAATGAAAGGTCTCGATGAGTACAACGTCAGGGTGAGCTTATATCTTTAAAAATGTCAACAGTTCACAAGATACAAGGTCATTTCTTAATTATATTAAATTGCACTGTACTTTCTTAAATATTGACGTTTTTAAAGACATAAGCTCATCCCAATGTTACACTCATCAAGAGCTTTCATTTGAGTACCCACATGCATTTTATATTTTTCATATATATAATATATATAAATATATGAAAAATTGATGTGGGTATCCAAATGAAAGGTCTCGATGAGTGTAATGTCGGGGTGAGCTTATATCTTTAAAAATGTCAATTATTCACAAGATATCTGTTAAATTGCACTGTACGTTCTTAACTATTGACGTTTTTAAAGATATAAGCTCATCCTGATGTTACACTTATCAAGAGCTTTCATTTGATTACCCACATGCATTTTTTATATATTTTTCATATATACATATATATATAATATATATAAATATATAAAATATATGAAAAATTGATGTGGGTACTCAAATGAAAGGTCTCGATGAGTGTATCATCGGGATGAACTTATATCTTTAAAAATGTCAATAGTTCACGAGATTCAAGGTCATTTCTTAATTATATATCTAGAGATAGAGCATTTTGAAATGCAGCCTAAATACTTATCATAAATAATAATAATAATAATAATAATAATAATAATAATAATAATAATAATAATTTTTTAATTAAAAATTCTATACATGATAAAAAAAATTTTCTCATTCCTACAAAATTAATTTTAATAAATTATGTTTTACTTACCATGAATTTGAAATGCATCTGAGTTCAAAGTTCTAATCATGTGAATAATAGAAATTACAGCCATAAAAATAAGTGCTATCATTAAAGAAATACTATAAAAAGTCTTAAGTGAATTTAATTTAAAAGATAGCTTCTGAGATGATGGAGCACGTATACCATAGAGCGGTAAAACTCCAAAAAGTTGTGCCACCACCAAAATAGATCCAATTGCTCTATGAAAGCTTTCATTATTCTGTAAATAAATAAACATTGAATTTAATTTAAAGAACAATGCATACTATTGATAATTTAAATTTATTTCAATACCTCGTCTGGCGTATTCCGTTTACCACTAACTTCTGGCGCTAGAAAATTCTTTACTGGTACCGATCGATTAACCGTGTAATGATGCAAAGCTCTGTCATCTCTTGAATTACTCATATTATTACCTTCAGTGACTAGAAATGGCCATACCTTGTGACACGCGCTCTTGTAATCAACACTGCGTTTAGTATTGTTGTAAGACCCTTTTGGACTCAACATGACAATTTTTGTCCATTAATTTTAGATATCAAATCGCTCATATGTATATTTATAAATAAACTGCAAGTATTAAAAAAAACATGTTTATCTTGAATGAATTAATTATAAAAATGAAAAAAGTTTAGTTAAAGGATAGATAGTATCATGTTGATAAATTAATTGTTACACCCAGTTGTGAGCTCCGACGTGTTGGCGATGATTAAACACATAAACTTGTCAACTATATCTGTTCTATCTTCGGTAGAAATTAAATTTTATAAATAAATTGTTTTTTTTAAATATTTAATTCAAAATTAATAGCAATTAATTTTTAGAAAAATATGTAGAATTATTAAAAACAATAAATACTAGCAATCTTGCAGTCACTATGTGACTGCTGTGACTTGTAAATTATAAATAAATAAAATTTTGCTTTATTAAATAATGAATTTAGTAAATTGCACTGTACTTTCATAAATATTGATGTTTTTAAAGATATAAGCTCATTCCGATGTTACACTCATCAAGAGCTTTCATTTGAGTACCCACATGCATTTGTGATATATTTTTCATATATACATATATATAATATATATATATATATATAAATATATAAAATATATGAAAAATTAATGTGGGTACTCAAATGAAAGGTCTTGATGAGTGTAACATCAGGGTGAGCTTATATCTTTAAAAATGTCAATAGTTCACAAGATACAAGGTCATTTCTTAATTATATTAAATTGCACTGTACTTTCTTAAATATTGACGTTTTTAAAGACATAAGCTCATCCCAATGTTACACTCATCAAGAGCTTTCATTTGAGTACCCACATGCATTTTTGATATATTTTTCATATATACATATATATAATATATAAATATATAACATATATGAAAAATTGATGTGGGTACTCAAATGAAAGGTCTCGATGAGTGTAACATCAGGATGAGCTTATATCTTTAAAAATGTCAACAGTTCACGAGATTCAAGGTCATTTCTTAGTTATATATCTAGAGATAGAGCATTTTCGAATGCAGCCTAAATACTTATCATAATAAATTGACTATAATAATAAATGACATTAAATTTCACTAAAAAAAAACCGATTTTATGATATGACTATCCTGGACACAAAATTTTTCTTATTCTCTTAATAATATAGATTAGCTTAATGTAAAATATAAAAATTAAAAAACTTACCTAATTTTTAAAAATAATCTTGACATTTGACAATAATCACTGATAAATATTAATTATTAAATAAATAAATATATTATCCTCAATATTACTAAATTAAGTACTTAAAAAAGTATCAAACTATCTGGTAAATAGAGATCATAAAATATAAAAAAGAAGTTACCAGCGTTAAGCTTAAAAGTAGACTAACTCGTAAAAAGTTCATAATCCCGCGATTGAGCATGCACTTGCGCTTTACTGCGTGTTAAATCAGATAGAAAAAAAAATCATGATCTGAAAATAAAGATGATCATTTTTATGGACATGTTACTGTAGTATACCCTACGTGTTGACAGATGTTTATCTAATTTATAAACTCATCGTCGAATGAAAAGATTGATAATAAAAACACCAAGTTGACATACTTGATTTAATTTATTGTATTGTACCATATAAAATATTAATCAAACTCTACCACATAGCTCGCTGGAGACCGGCAATTTTATTATAATCAACCATGTGCCTGAAGACAAATCTTGAGAGTCTCCACCGAGGAAGATTACCACGACCACGAGACGTTACCGCGCATCTCTTAGTCAACTGACGTGTAGATGATACTCTTGGTATATCTTCTATCATTTGTCTGTCAGCAATTTCCTGTTAAATTAAAAAAAAAATCATATGTAAGAAAAATAAACAGATATCATCAAATTAAAAGCCATAGTACTAATACAGAAAAAAGAAGTCTATAATAATTAAAATTAACGTACTGTAATTTCTTTAGGTAAGAAGGTACATCTTTTGATAGCTATTAAACGAGCACGCACTGGAGCATATTGTTCAACAGCACGACGTCTTTTTACGTCTCTTTTCATCCAGGCATTCACCCACTTGTCGTAGTCATAAATTCCAGCTGCTCCAACTTTTGGTGTTGGTACTGGTGGCTTAGCTTTTACAAAATTAGGTTCTGGTATATCTGCTTTATGTCTCACTTGTAACTAAAAAAAAATTTTTAAAAATTAAAATAAATTCTAAGTGCAATTTAAAAAAAATATTTTATTATTTATAATATTGAAGTTTTAGCCGTCAGCTGTCAACTTTAAAAATTTTTATGACAAATCAATTAGAATAAAAAAATGCTTTTAAAAATTTTCATTTGTAGTTTTTAATAATTTTCATGAAATTAAAGTTAGCAGTAACTTGACAATTTAAAAATTTTTTTTTAACAAAAATTTTTTCTATAAAATTGCATTTTTAATTTTATTTTCTAATTTTTTTTGTCATAATTTATTTGTTACAAAAATTTTAAAAATGATTAAATATCTGCTAAATTAATTTTCACATGTGAAATTCTTTTATAATTTAATTGCCATAAAATTCTAAAAAAATTTTTATGTCTGTCAACTTCAGTGTCATTATTATTTATAATTTTTATTGATTTAAAAAATCAAAAATTGTCAAATGTATTCTAATTTTAATATCAAATAATTATGAAAATTAAATTAGCTGACATCTGAAAATTTTCAGATTTTTTTTTTATTGAAAAAAAAAAAAATAAAGAGAAAAAATTTAACAAGTAAAAAATTGAAAAATTTCCAAGTGAAATTTAAAAAAATATTTTTTTTTATTCAAAAAATGTCAAATGTCTCCTAATTTTAGTACCACAAAATAGTTGAGGTTATTTTTTTTATATTTACTTTTAAATAAAAATATAAAATCAAATTTATTTTATGATAATTAAATCATTAATTATTTTATTGTTATTAATAAATGACAAATACTTACAACAGTACAACGTGCTCCAAAAAAATTTATTTTTGATACTGAAGACCACAACGACCTTAGATTCGCCATTTTTAAACACTTTGTAATTTTAGTAAGAGCGGCTGCAAAAGACTTACGGATTTTCCGGCTACTAAACTAAATTTTTAATTGTTATTATTATTTTCGGTGTTGTCACATTTGAAGTTATCAATATTATTTTATTTTTTCAATTCTTAGATTATATATTTCGATCCTCTCTTGCTAAAATTAGATATAGTGGGGGTAAGTGAACAACCCCTGGTGATTTTTGTTGATTTAAACAGCTGATCAGCGCCACCTAGAATTTTTAATTTAAAGAGGAACTAATCAGCATTGTAAGAGTAATGTCTGATAATTAACAACTAAAGTTTAAATATTTAAAGTTAATAAAATAAATAACAAGAGTATTTAATTTCCAGTTCCGCATTTATTGTTTTCCAAATGTTACGACAAAACCACCTTTGTAATTTGTTTATAATTATTATATATACAGCATACTGCTATAAATATCAGCAAAGTGTATGAAAGTATTTATTAATTGTTAATAACATTATAAAATTGACCCCGCTTTAATTAGAGCAAGTGAAAGATTTAAACAAATCAATTATAACTATAATCATTATAACGAACTCAACAAATCCATGCTTATTGAGCAAACTTTTAATATTTAAGATCAAATAAAACTAATTAAATATTACAAAATTAATATTAAGTAGGATGAATGATGAAAGTAAAAAAAATCAAAGAAAAAAAAAAAAAGATGTTCTTGTCGAGTATCGCAGATATAGGATTTATTATTCCGTATAATTAGAAAATATAATTAAGCCGAACTAAATTATGATGTTAATTGTTAAACAGGTGTTTATATATAATAGCTCGCGTAAATTTGAATTCAATCTTTTTACCACTCGTGCCTACATGGTGTGACAAGGAGACGACGCGTTATTCATTGATTATTTTGTTATTTTTTTTTTTTTTTTTTTATAAACCTAAAAAAGAAAGTATACAATAATACAAATATGACAAAATTTAATTAATAATATATTAATTAATTATGCAGCAGCCATAATTGATTCTCGACGTCCTTTCCTACGGAATTCTTTACGATGAAAAGAGTTTCGGATTGAACGTTTAGATGGATAAGTTAAAATATTGTTGAAGTATGGCATGGCTATTTTATTACACTTAACAGTGATAATAAACCGTCTTGATCTTTTAATATCGTTATTAGTTTGTCTATTCTTATAAGCAGTCTTAAAACCATTTGAATTTATTTTCATTAACGATGATGTTATACAAGTTGTCATTGTTTGTAATGAATGCATCTTCCTTAGATAGTCACATGAGAGGCTCAAAGAGAGACGACAAATTACTGGTGCTACTATATGCCGGCATGCACTCGGCGGCTCAATTTTACGCGAAAACAGGTTATTTCTTCTTCTGGGCTTTTTCTGCGGCCTTGGTGACCTTTCCAGTAGCGTCCTTGAATGATACGGCTTTGATGACACCGACGGCAACGGTTTGACGCATGTCACGTACGGCGAAACGTCCAAGAGGTGGGAATTCTTGGAAAGCCTCAACACAAAGGGGCTTGCTGGGAACAAGGTTTACAATAGCAGCGTCACCTGACTTGATGGCTTTTGGGTTTTCTTCGGTGGTTTTTCCTGTACGACGGTCACATTTTTCCTTGATCTCTGCGAATTTGCAGGCAATGTGAGCTGTGTGGCAATCCAACACAGGCGTGTAACCATTGCTGATTTGTCCTGGGTGGTTCAATACAATAACCTAAAAAGAAAATTAATATATCATTAAAATTTAACTGCAGTGAAAGAATTATTTAATTAAAAAATAATTTTAATTAATTTATTGACACTCGGACGCCTTAGGCCATCATTGAAATTCTCTGGTGGAAACCACGAATGAAGTAAATTTTTCATCATCATTGCATCAATTTAATAAAATAATTATAAGGATAATTAGGAGGAAATTTTATTTACCTGAGCGGTAAAGTCAGCAGCTCCCTTGGGTGGGTTGTTCTTTGAGTCTCCAGCGACGTAACCACGACGCAATTCCTTGACAGAGACGTTCTTAACGTTGAAACCAACGTTGTCTCCGGGGACGGCCTCAGTGAGGGCTTCGTGATGCATTTCTACGGACTTAACTTCAGTGGTAAGTCCAGCGGGGGCGAAAGTAACAACCATACCTGGTTTCAACAAACCAGTTTCGACACGACCGACTGGTACTGTTCCAATACCTCCAATCTTGTAGACATCCTGAAATAAATTAATAATTTTGATTAGTTTAAATCTTTATTCTAAAAATAAAAAATTTTTTTACTTAATTAATTAAGTCAGACGCGTTAGGCCGTCATTAAATAAATTTCCGGTGGAAACCACGAATGAATTGAACTTTAAATCATCATAAAAAATTAATTGAAATTTTAATAGTTAATAATTATTAATAATTTTAATAATTAATAATACAAAAAAAAAAAAAATAAATAAATTACCTGAAGGGGAAGACGGAGAGGTTTGTCGGTGGGTCTGCTTGGTGGCAAGATAGCGTCAAGAGCTTCAATGAGGGTGGTACCTTCACCGTTACCGTCTTTACGTTCAACCTTCCATCCCTTGAACCATCCCATTTTGCTGGATGTCTCCAACATGTTGTCTCCGTGCCATCCAGAGATGGGGACGAAAGCAACAGCGGCTGGGTTGTAACCAATCTTCTTGATGTAAGAAGATACTTCCTTCTTGATTTCCTCGAAACGGGACTCAGAGTAGGGTGGCTCGGTGGAGTCCATCTTGTTGACTCCGACAATCAATTGCTTGACACCAAGGGTGAAAGCAAGGAGAGCGTGCTCACGGGTTTGACCGTTCTTTGAGATACCAGCTTCGAATTCACCAGTACCGGCGGCGACGATCAAGACGGCACAATCGGCCTGGGATGTACCAGTGATCATGTTCTTGATGAAATCTCTGTGACCGGGAGCATCGATGATGGTTACGTAGTACTTGGCGGTTTCGAACTTCCACAAAGCGATATCGATGGTAATACCACGTTCACGCTCGGCCTTCAATTTGTCGAGTACCCACGCGTACTTGAAGGAACCTTTACCCATCTATTAGGAAAACAAAAATTTTAGATCAATTTTGTATTGTATTTTTAAAAAAAGTTAATATAATTTATATTATGTTTCAGGGCTCCGAATTCCAACATAGAGCAAGGTCCCGGCACCTTATCGATCGCTCGTCGGTCGAAATCTAAGATGATTTCAAAAACCATTCATCATTAGGCAAATTTAATTTTTCGAGTTTTCTCGAATTAAGGGTAGTACGAGCATCAAGACAACTTTTGATAAAAGACTTGATTTTTTTTTTATCAATATACTGATAGAAGGATTTGTTTATAATTAAAAATATTTGTTAATATTTAACAAATTATTTATTAGAGATCACTTTTTAGTATTAAGTATTTAAAATGATTTGTTAGTTTTTAATAAATCTGATATTTATTTAATAAATATTTTTAAATAATAAGAAATATTTGTTAAGGACTCAAAAGTGGTCTTCAATAAATGATTTAAATATTTTTAACCATAAACAAATTTTTCTATCAGCGTATAAAGTTTAAATATATTTAAATAGATTCCAAAAATTTGAAGATTGCTCGGTTATTTAAGGTTGCACGGACAGTACCCCGTAAGTCATAGTAGAATCTAAATTTTTTTTTCATTAAACTTAAAAATTTAAATACGAAAATTCATTACTATAATTTAATCGTTACCTTACATTATTATTAAATAAAATAATTTAATAATTTAATTAACAACAACAATAAATAGTCAACGTTTGACTCAAGTATTTTTTCACAAAACTTGGACCTGACAACAGCTGTTTATATTTATCTCACTGTGTAGTGTTGAGTTGAAAAACATAACCCATAAAAATACACAGGAATTACTAAAATTCAAAATTCGCGCGTTCTATTCTGTGCAACGTTGCCACACTGCGCTGAATCACGTGGTTTGTTTATTTTTAAATATGTCGGCCTGAAATTTTCGTGAATTTCTCATCTTTTGCATTAAAATATCTTTAAAAGCCTTCGGTAGAAAATTTTCATTTTATTTTTAACGTATTCTACGAAAGTTGATTGACTGAAATAGAAGATTTTTGTTTTTTAATCTTCCTATGAGGCAGTCACATAAATCGATATATGTGCAATCCGCCAATAGTCTCTATAGGCTACATGTTAAATTTCAACTTTTTAATAATTTATTAAAGGATAACCCTTTGACAGATCTATTCAAAAAAATTAATTTAGACGTATGAGATAGCAATTCATAACATATCAAAAAATTAGCTTCTGATCTTCAAAAGTGCATTAGTGTCCGTACAACCTTAAATAAATAATTAACTTTGAAGTTGAACAATTTAACTTTGGTCTTATGAGGTAACTCTAAATATTGAGTGTATTTTTTTGGCCACTTTATTTTCAAATAATTGTGTAAGTATTTCTGTAAGTGCAAGACGTTATGGATTCAATTCGTATGAATGTACTAATTCATAAATTCTATTTGTATAGTTGAATTTTTTACAAACTAACTAAAATATCAAGTAGCTAAAAATGGTCCTCAGATGGCCAAAACCGGTACTTCTACCCTAAATTTTTATATTTGTCTCGTAAAACTGTCTGTAAATATTTTAAAAAATTTTAAGGATAAAAGTAAATATATTAATGATAAATTTAATTCAAAAAAATTTATATTCGCCCGACTAATTAAAGTGTATTAATTAAAAAAAATATAAATACATATTGAGAAAAATCATATGGTTACTGCTCTTCCCTTACCGCGCTAGAGTCAATACATATCCCCACCCCGCCTAGCGCTCGTACTACCTTAAATAATAAAAAAAATGAAATTTTACCTCCTGGGCTTCCTTCTCGAACTTCTCAATGGTACGTCTGTCGATACCACCACATTTGTAGATCAAATGTCCAGTAGTGGTAGACTTTCCAGAATCTACGTGTCCAATGACGACGATGTTAATATGAATCTTTTCTTTACCCATGTTGAAGGTTTGGTTTTTTTCAGTCTGGTCAAAATCTGTTAATTAGGGCAAATCTATCAAATAAAAAAAAAAAAACAAAAATTAATAATCATCAAACTCTACTTAAATATATTTTATATTTAGAAGAAAAATAGTCTAAAAAATTATAATCAATAAATTAACATTCAGACGCCTTAAGCCATCATTGAAATTCTCTGGTGGAAACCACGAATGAAGTATAATTTTTCATCATCATAATGCTAATTTATTGAAAATATTTATAAAAAATTAACGCGTGTAACAATCAGAAAAAAAATACTTTTACTAAAAATTTATTAAGTGAAATTTAAAAAAAAAAAATGCGATAAAGAGGATCTTCTTGGAGCGTCCACGTGGCGATGCTCTGAACCTTCGAGACTAGCCAGCCCGGCAGCCATTTTGTATTCCCGAGTTCACGGTGACGATATATAACTGTTACAATCGTGACGCTTAATGTTATGAGTATCGCAATAATGCCGAGTTAAGCTGCTTTAATTGAACATTGCGTAACTAATTCTAATCGATAATTTTTTAAATATTTATTATTGATTGAATATTAAAAGTTATTACCAAAAAAATAAGTATACGTATCTAGTATAAAGAATTTTAAAATAAAAAAAAATATCGACTCGCCGACACATTTATTCAGTTGCATCCAGATCAATTAACAATTAGTCACTGAGTCGGCAAATTATTTTGCAACATGAGGCAATGAATCATTAATGCATGTGTTAGTAAAAATATGTCGGAAGTGATATGATAGAGATAATCCTTAATATCTACAATATTTAATATAAAAAATTCTATTACTTATAAAATAATTATTTATATACTTAGAAATTACTATCGACTTTTTTGTATGTACTATGTACTATAAATACTTCATTACTAAGCACTAATTGCAAGTATTGAGCGAATAACTGTAATAATGAGTACTGAAGATTTCTTCAAATGTCTGCAAAAAAATTAAAATTTTAATAAAAATTTAACTGGCGAAAAATTGTAAGTTTATAAAAATTTAAAAATTGGAAGTTGCGAGTAATAATTTATGACAATCGGTGGCCATACTGCATCCGGTTGGTCGTGATTCGAAGCGTTGCGTTCCCGTAGCGACAAAGAAAAATGAATTGAACCGTAAAATAACTAAAAAAAAAAATATAAATTTATGATTCCCAAGACTCGTAATTATTTTCTTGAGTAATTAAAATAAAAACCGATATAAATAATAGATTTTAGAACAAAGTTTTAAAAAAATCCTCGTGTAAGGCACAGCCGGCAGATTACGAACATAAAAAGACCATGCGTTGAACTTGAATTGAATAATTACACCGCGAATATTAAATAATTAACAAAACTTACAGCACAGCACTATTTTTAATTATTTTAATTTTAATTATTTTTAGTACCTAACAGTCGATGCTAATTCCTTGGTATATTAATTTTAGGATTATACTTGAGTGCAATATTCACGCACAACCACTCACCTCTAGATGCCACGACAGAAAGAGATTGTTCAACTGAAGTGACATGCGCGTTTACTTCCCAGCCGTAGCCTCGAACCAAGCGCCCTCACCATATCGATCACTCCACTGTCTTCATTATCAAGTAATTAGATATTTATTCAATTATTTTATTTTATTTATTTAAATTTATATTATTTAAATAATTCTTCTGAATTTCAGGAATTTATTGTCATCAAGCTCGCGGAGCATTTAGCTTTTATTTTATTTATTTAAATCATTTAAAGAGGCTCGAAGGTGCTGAAGATGCTTTTGGGCTCGAGATTATTGTGCAGGAGTGAGGCGTGTCCCTAGTATTGTAACATACACCACGGCGAATGTGTGTGCAACTATTGTAGGTATTATATTATCTGGACCCTACCCGAATATGCATTTACATACTTACATATATGTATTTTGCGCTTGCATTTGTATTCATCCGGGAGACTAGCCATCTTTAAAATGTCATAATTATTAATTAATTAATTAATTTTTTCTTTAGTAAAACTTGGTAGGTTTTGTCAAAAAATTTTTAATAATTATTGATTATCAATAATCGATAAGTTTATTATTAAATGTCAATTTTATTTTTAGAAGAATTTAAAATAGAGAAATAATCGATTTTTTGGAGATTGAGTCGAGATAAGATGCAGAGTATCGAGAGAAGAATCGATATTGTTGTGGTCGAGCTCAATTATTGGTGATTCAATAGTCGGCTGTGTTCACGTTGTATGAGGAATTCACTTTTGCGCGGACTTACAGTTGACAATAACGACAATACCAAACATGTCGCAGATAAAAATAATTAATTTTAGCAGTATATGTCGGGTATGCCTTAAACAAGGGATAGAACAATGTCACCGATATTTGGTGACACTAGTAATAATATTGCTGATGTTCTCAGTTATTTAGCAGACGTTCAGGAAATTTAAGGTTATTTTTTATTACTATGTTTACTATGCAGTGACAGTTGTATATTTTTAAAGTTACTCTAAATGAATTTTTAAATGACACTAAAGTTAGCAATCACTTGATTATTTTTGTTTTTTTTTTTTTAACAAATAAATTTTTTCTGAGAAATTATTTTAAAAAAATTGCATTTTTAATTTTTTTAAATTTTTACATATCAATTTTTTTTTTTTTCGAATTTTTTTTGCTAATTAATTGATTACAAAAACTTTTAAAATTATTAAAAATCTGCTAAATTAATCATCATATTTTGAAACCTGTTCAAAAATATTAGGACATTCAAGTTAACAGTCACATGACCATTTAAAAAATTTTTTTTAATAAACAAATTTGTCCCAAAAAATTATTTCAAAAAAATTTTTTTTTAATTTCTTCATATCAATATTTTTTGTCATAATTTATTTGTTAAAGAAATTCTACAATATCTGCTAAATTAATTTTCATAAAATATTACATAAAATTGTGAATAGTCGGTAGATATTTTATTTTCTCTAATGCTATTTTTATTGAGTAAAAGTTAAAAATTAAAAAAAAAGAGACCTGACTCTTTTTTTTAATTAATTAAAAGTTTATATTAAAATTTTTAAGTATTTTCACATGCTATATTAAAATTTTTTTTTTAATAAATTAATTTTATTTTTATAAATAATTTTATAATTGATTAATGTAATTACAGATTATTCCGATATGATATTTTTATTTATTTATGTAATAAAGTGTCAAAATTGATGAAAGTTTGTTTTTATTGATAATATTCATTTAATTTAAAGTAAAAACCTTAAATTTCGACGTAACATACAAGTTACTAGTCTTAAATAATTAATTAAATATTATAAATTTTTGAATAATTACAACTGCATATATATGCATGATGAAATAAAAATAAAGATCAATTGATCAGATGATCAACAGTCAGTACAAATTAAAAAATGTTACTTATATCTTTACTTCAGTTTGACACTTTACTTGAGTCTTTACGCTTCCAAAAATCTATTATGCAATTTATGCATTCAGCTGCCGGACGATCACTGAGGAAAGATTGGTGGCATAAACTGTACTTTTCTATAATCTCTCCATCACGATTATAATCCAATTGATCTGAACTTCTCCTATTACAAAAATCATCTTGAAAGGACTCGTAGCTTGCTCTACAAGCAATGGTTTTCCTACCATCTGGACCCTTTTCACATGTCCTGTCACTCCCGTAATAGCACCTCATCATGCCGAACGGTTCCCAAGGATCGGTCATTAGAAGTTTTTTGAATAAGTCCTCGGTAGACGTCATCGATGAAATTAGAAACTGGAGCTCTTGGATTAGCTTGTTTTTTGTAGCATTGGATAATTTATGATTATCAGAACCCGTTAATAATAGTATGCAATCACTAAAAATGGTTTCAAATTTTGATACGTTACTGCTTTGAATTTGGCGTCCTTCTTTAATTAGATTAGGCTCCTGCACGTTGCTACTTGAAGCCTCTGAATCTAGAAAAAATAAAAATTGTTATTATCTATTTTTTATTTATTATTTATTATTATTGATTTATCAATAGTTGAATAATAAAATAATTTGTAAAAAATGTCTATACCTATTTTCTCAGCTTGCTGGCTTTGGTCTTGGTTCAGGGCTTTTGGTGGAATCAACAATTCAAGATCATTCAGCAACGCTAAGATTATAGGATCAGGTGTAGTAAATAATTTGGCTTCCTTAATAATTTTAGATCTTTGATCGTAGTAATTGTAAACCGTGCGATTTGATATATCCAATTTTTTTGCAATATCATCCGGGTTTTCTTGCATATAATATAATTTGAGGGTAATTAACTGTTTTTCCAGACGTTTAACCACTGTAGGTGTAAGTTTTTTATTATTCGCCAACTCCATCACTAATTAACTGTTTTTTCGCAAAACCGAATTTTTTTTATCTTATTACTCAACAAAAGTTAGAGCCTAACTGAAACGAAATAGAAGCTCGAATAATTTGCTTAATTACTCTTCCCTCTTTCAAACTGGAAATTTGTTTATTTCTTATTGATAATATTTCATTACCAATACATACGTTACTATATTGACTCATCATATTATCTTAAATACTTTTCACTTGTCATAAAAAAAAAGTTTTTAATTTTTATAATATCTATCCATTATTCTTCAAGTTTTTACAACAATAATTTCTTCTAGGAAACAAATCATTATTCGATAATATAATCGTCTCTTCAAATTTACGAATGTAATAATAAATTATTAAGCTGAAAAAAAAGATTATCCCCGTCATAAATTTTCAAGACTTATAATTACTTCAGTATAGCTATTTAAATAGTCTAATGCTCAATGAGGTCTTGAAATTTATTATTTTGAGTCACTTTCGTATTTCCGAATATAGCCGAGCTCAATTTCGGTGGGAAATCGCATTTATTTTGAATACTGCTCTAGTGTTGAAATTATGAACTAACATCAGTCAATAAAAACATCTGACATCTAAAAATTTTTATAATTTTTTTTTACTGAAAATAAAGTTAGCCGACATCTAAAAATTTTAAAGATATTTTTTATTAAAAAATTATTACAAAAAAATAAAAAAAAAAAATTTCATTTGTTAAAAACTTCAAAAACTATAAGTGCAATTTTTTAAAAATATTTTTTAGTTCTAATTTTATAAATTAAGCAAAATCAAAAAATTAAAAATGTCGGCTCATTTTATTAATATTAAGGATTCTAATTTTTAAATTAAACTTTTATTAATTTCTGTCTATTCAAGGTGAGGCTGAAAGTTTATAAGCAAAATAATTTATTACAGCTGAGACGATAATAAAAAATTTTGTTTTGTCGTGTTATAACAGTTTAGAAATCTTACAAAAAATAAATTCAATTAGTCAAATTTTTTTGTCTATTTCATACAACAATTGTTTAAATGATTCATCGTTTATCGTCTCTAGAGCATTTATTTCCCGTCTTTCTTGCAGGATACCGTCGATGGCATGTTTTATGTCTTTATAAAGGTCTGGAGCTTCTTGAAAAGGCTCGTCGAAGTTTTTGATTCTGATAACTATTTTCATTGGTAGGTGATGAAAGTCTTAATTGCTTCATCTCTGTAGATGGTGAGGGCAAATCGGGCCTTAAGTTTGGCGAAATACCGAAAAATGGATAAAAATCATCGGGATCATTTATTTGGAGTGATTCTTGCAACAGTGAGCTGCACTCTTGAGACAAAGTTGAATTTATTTCCTGCTCGTGTTTTAAGATCGGCTGACCATTGTCAACTACCAGGACAAATTTATTCTCTTGTTTTACTTCTGAGATTCCGAGATTTTTATCTTTATCTATTTCAGGGATGACATCATTTCCACCTGAGGAATTTTCAGAGTGATCTGATAACGATTCTTTGGCTTCTGCTGTTTGAACTGGACACTTATGAGTTCTTTGACTCACCTAAGATGAGAAGAATAATTTGGTTTAATTTTATAATTGTAATTATAACAAAAAATAATTTAATAATTTTTTTTTTTTTAGTTACTTTGTATCGAAAGCTCCTTCCACAAGAAGTGCAAGAGTAAGGCATCACTCCAGTGTGAATCCTCCTGTGCACTAAATACGACACACGTTGCCTGAAGCATTTTCCTGTAAAGATAAAAATATGATTGCTTATTTATAAATTAGCGAATTATTTAAGTATTTATTTAGTGCTTAAAAAAAACTTACAAAAACAAAGATCATGCTTCACACGATGATTAGTAATTAATAACTGAAAGCATTTGGAAAAGCACTTTAAAATCTCCCAACTTTCTATAAATCTGAACGATATATTTAAATAATTAATATACAAACCACAAGTTTCGCATGCGAAAGGTTTTTCACCGGTATGAATTCTCTCATTATTGTGCAACATCGAAAGCTCTTTGAAGGACCGGTCACAAGTGGTGCACGTGTGTGGTTTATCATCTTTGTGATACAATCTGTGTTTATGATAAGACTGTTGAAATGTAAATGTCTTGTTGCATATATTACACTTGTATGGCATTTCTCCAGAATGCAATCTTTTATGTTTCTTCAGGAAGTATTCTGTAGTAAACATTTTACTGCATACATCACACTCCCATTGCTTTGCTTCATGAGTTTTTAAATGTTGGGTTACATGTTGCTCCTGATAATAAAATTCATTATTATTTATCAATTTTAAATTTTAATTACAAGTCTTATTAATTTATCTTCATCAATTTTTTTTAATAGTAGCTATAATAATTTTATAAAAGAAGAAATAATAATAACATTCTAAGTGTACAAATAGTGATTATAAACTATCAATTAGTGATTATCAATTATCAATTACTAAAAATTTTTTCTTTTTGTTTTTCTCTTCTATCAAATCTCTTAAAGCTATCTTTATATAAAAATTAATTAAATAATTTTTATTGGCGTTCTGATTGGCGTTCAAATGAATAAATAAATAAATAAAAATGTTGAGTGACTTTTAAGAGATGAATTTTTGTATTAAAATATTAAATATACTGAATCAAATAATTGAGCAAATTAACACACTTATATATTATTACTCTAAATTCTAGATCGCGTGAAGTAAATAAATAAATTAGTTTGAATTTATTGAATGGTCTGAAGCTTGCGCGCTACACGCAACGTTGCCAAATGTTTTGACGCCATTTAAATGTAGATTACTTAAAAATTTTCTGTGATTTTATAATTTTAATTTCTCTATAAATTCCACGGCAACCTATATATTTTATTGCAAAAAATTAAACCTGAATATTTCGAAAACCTTATTTCGAGTTTTTTTTTACCCCGTCTAATCGGTGGTTAATACCATAATTCGAGAAAGTTGTTAAGGTCTGACTTTCTCGTAAGACTCGGAAAAAATACTAACATTTTTAAAAATTTTTTTTTCAAAAATTTGCACGGTAAAGACTAAATTAAATTACACTAGTAGATAAATAAGGACTTCAACTATTAGATAAAAAATAATTTTATGCACAATCTAATATTTTTGATTTAACATTGATGGCGAAAGGACCTCCTTAAAAGTCCTAGTAGATAGATTTTAGGAATTTCATAAAAAGTGAAATATTTCGTAACCACGCACACTAAATACGTTCCAAAATTGTTTCTTTTAATTTTTAAATTTACAAAAAAATTTTTTTTAATTTCCGGAAATCATATGCAACCATATCGGTTACTTGGATTTTTTAATTTTTTATTTTATATCTTTTTGTAAAGAAATAAAATTTTTTTTCCTTAATAGTCTTATGAACGTGGACTTGGCGCGATTTTTTTACAGTGAAACTGTTTTTGTTCGGATTATAGGAACACAACACGAATAGATTGGTTTCACATACATTTCATCTCAATTTTATTATGGGATATCTAAAATATTTTATTATTTACACTAAAAAAGTTTAATCTAGATTATGTTAATAAATTTACAATTAACAGTATTATTTACATACATTTATTCAATTATTGGCTTAAAAGTTTTAAATCTTCGTTACTTAAATAATTAAAAATATTTCTAATAACTAAATATGGTAAATCCATATAAAAAATATTGAACAACACTGCTGCATTTTTTAACAGCTCTTTTCTCTCAACCGCTCTTCTCAATTTTTCAATCATAATGCTACCATACACTTGAAATTCAGTTAATATTTTGTCTTCAATAAAACAAAAGTCTGAATGTCTTAATCCTACAGCTAATCTATGTACATTGTTAACTACTACATCGAAATAATTAAAATTTGTGTTGCTTATTTTTCTAATTTTCAATTCACTTATTTCCTTCTCGCACTTCTCATAGAACGATCTAAAATGCTCACTATTTACAGCTTTTGAATTCTCTATGCTAACATATAAACCGGCTGCGGATAATTTAATAATGTGCTTTTCGATCATCTTTACTATTATCGAAGAATTACGAGTCATAATAGTTTTCAGTACTTTGGCGAAACCAAGCAAATTTAGATTATCCTCGTCATGAACCATATTAATATTTATCCCAAAGTCCAGTAGATATCGTAAAATATTTTTACTGCCTGAAATTAAAACTCCATTAGCTATGATATCACCGAGCAAATCAGAAATGTCCAAAAAATTGTTACACTTTTTAACAAAAAGCTTAAAAAGTTCTATGTCATCTTGGTCCACAGCTTTTTCAAACTCCAAAGTATAATACCCGTCCTTGATTATTTCGAACTTCGCTCCATACTTCTCCAGAATTTGGAGAATCTCAATACTGTTGATGGGTAATGATATAGCCAGTCGTAGAGAAGATCTTAGTCCGTTGGATCCTTGATCGATGATGGCGTTGTGCTTCAATAGCAATTCAATCACAGGAATATTTCTTAATAAAATTGCCAAGTTTAAAGGAGACCAGTTGCACCACCCCAATGATGATAAATCAGCTTTGTATGGTATATAGTTTACGTCGGCTCCTGACTTTACTAAAAACTCGATGATGTCATAGGTACCACTTTTAATGGCTTGGTGAAGTGGTGGCTGAGCTGCCCGATGGTTTGGCAATATGTTGATGTCAGCTCCGGAAAATACTAATTTTTGCACGACGTCAAGCTTCTTTTCCTCGATCGCCACGTGGAGCGCCGTCCATAAAAAGTCAGTGCTGGCGTTTAAATCAACGTGATTTTTTAATAAAAAGTCGATGAGTTCGTCGTATGAGTTCAAGATTGCAAACTGAAGGATACTTATTTGCCTGTACTGATCCAAAAAAAATATGGAGTTAACATTCAAATCTCCAGATTCTATTAACTGGCGGATGTTATTTAAACCACAACTGTTCACTGCCATTTTTGTATTTGAGTAATTGATAATACACAATTGTACTTTACGAAAGATAGGTCTTGAATTTGAAGATTTTTGCACTTTTAACTCTGTCGTAAGAAAGATCTGAGTTCTTGAAGCAATTCAGAAGGTAACCTTTTTCGGCTTCCTTCTTCGAAAAATTTATTAGGGTCTTACTCCTTCTTTCAGTCTACCAGCGCTTGCCATTGGTTCTTTTGTAGGGTCGGAGGAAATAGAGTGAAGAGGTCCATAGTCTGAGAGATCCACTTCCCTGAACCTGGCGACTGAAAAATCGTTTTCAGTATTTTTTTATGAACAAATCGTTTGTTCGTCGTTTGTTCTTATTTGTTCGTTAAAAATTATTATTTGTTCGATTATTGTTTATTAATAAAAAATTAAATGAATTTACTCTTGTAAGTTAGCGCAACATTAATCAAATCTAAGTTTTTTTTTTTTTAATCGATAGCTTTTTTTTTTTTATTATTTGTTCGATTAATTAAATTATTTGTTCGATCGTATTTATATTTTTTTTATAAATAATTCAGATCTTAAATTATAAGCGCGCATGCGCCGGTTGGTTGTGTTAGTTGAGTTACATGGGTTACTTATAGCAACTATATGGCTTGCGCGGTTCAATTCGAATAATAATAATAATACTGTAATGGAATGGAATAAAATAATAAAATCTAATGTATTTATTGCATTGTTTATTACACGGAGCTTAGATAGAGCTAATTCTATCTAGCGTGAATATAATCGAAGTGTCTATATTGACGCCATCCACGGATGAAATCCGTGGGTGAAATAAAGTTCAAAAACGTGAAAAATAGAGGTAAAGGTCCTAAAAATATGAGCGATAGCTCATTTGATTCGGAATCACTTCTAGAAAAATGTTTTTGAAGGATTCTGGTGCAGGTAAAAAATTGCAATTGTTATTAACAAAATAAGATGAAAAAAAAAAAATGATGTTTCATTTTTTGTTAATAACTCGAAAAATATTAATATTTAAGCAACTTTGGAAGAAGATCGTTAAAGAGGAGAAAATTTCCAATACAGAAGTTTACAACATAAAATATGATTTTTAAAATTTGAAAAAATTCTAGTATCTTCTACCCTCCATAGATCCAACAGATCCAATTTACAATTTTTAATCGCCGCCATTTTGGTGGCAAAATGTCCCCGTCCCAATACAATTAATTGAGATAAAATGCCGAGTATCGAGAGAAGAATCGATATTGTTATGGTCGAGCTCAATTATTGATGATTCAATAGTCGGCTATGTTCGCGTTGTATGAGGAATTCACTTTTGCGCGGACTTACAGTTGACAATAACGACAATACCAAACATGTCGCAGATAAAAATAATTAATTTTAGCAATACATGTCGGGTGTGCCTTAAACAAGGGATTAGAACAATGTCACCGATATTTGGTGACACTAGTAATAATATTGCTGATGTTCTTAGTTATTTAGCAGACGTTCAGGTAATTTAAGGTTATTTTCTATTACTATGTTTACTATGCAGTAACAGTTGTATGTTTTTAAACATACATAAAAATTAATTTAGCAGATTTTTAATAATTTTGGTGGCAAATTATTGCAAAAAAATTGAAATGTAGAAATTTAAAAAAATAAAAAATGCAATTTTTTAAAAATAATTTGTTTATTAAAAAAAATTAAAATATAGTCAAGTGACACTGCTAACTTTAATGTCATAAACTTATTTTAAATGAAATTTTAAACCTGTTGAAAAATATTACATTAAATTGTGAATAGCTGGCCGCTACTTTATTTTCTCTAATGCTAATTTTATTGAGCAAAAGTTAAAAGTTAACAATTAAAAAAAAGAGACCTGAAATTTTTTTTTTTAAATAAATTAATTAAAAGTTTATATTATAATTTTATTTTTAAATTTACTCTAAATGAAATTTTAAACCTGTTCAAAAATATTATGACATTGAAGTTAGCTGACAACTGTCAATTTTTTAATTTTTGTATCAAATCAATTACAAAAAAAAAAATGCTTCTAAAATTCTTTTTAATTTTCACATCTGGAATATTTTTATTAAATTTTTTTTTTCATAATAATTAATTGCTATAAAATTATAAAATAATTTCTAATGTCTGTCAACTTCAGCGTCATAAAATATTACATAAAATTGTAAATAGCCAGCAGCTATTTTATTTTTTTTAATGCTATTTTTATTGAGTAAAATTAAAAAGTTAAAAAAAAAAAGAAACTTGAATTTTTTTTTCTTATATAAATTATTTAAAATTTTCAAAGTTTTTTCACATGCTATATTTTAATTTCTTTTTTTTTTCATTTTTATAAATAATTATGTAATTGATTAATTTAATTGCAGATTAATCCGCACGATGGTTTACCTGCTGCTATTTGTTTGAACTGTAAAAGAAAAGTTGAAGAGTTTTACAAATTCAGAAATTTAATTGAAATTTCAGACAAAACTCTCCGATCTTATTTAAAAATAAATAATGAAAATGATCTGATTTCCGAAGATGAACAAGAAAATATTTTTCCGGACAATAATGATTCGGGAATTACTTACGTAGTTACGATGCCCAATGACTCTACACAGGTATTTTTTTTTTTTTTTTTACAGTTCTTTAATTTTACAATGATCTATACACTGAAAAAGAAATTAACTTAATTCGAGAGAAAAATTCTTGAACCAAGAAAATAATTATGTGTCTTGAATCAAGACCAAAAATTCTTGAATCAAATCAAGAAGATGAAGCTTTTCAAAATTATATCTTGATTCAAGAACATTTTTTTTTCTGTGTAAGGTAAAAGACCCAGTTATTGACACTTGCAATTTTATTTTAATTAAAAAAAAAAATAAATTAACAAACATAATTTTTGAATAATAAATTTTAAGAAAATTGGTTTTTTGAAAACATTTAATTTTTTTAATTAGAATAAAATTGCACGTGTCTAACAACTAGGTCAGTATCAATAACTGGGTCTTTTACCTTATCTTATTTAAAATAAAATACTTACAGATATGGGACACTGCTGATACGTTGGAATTGAAAAAAAATGCAGATGAACAAGTAGAAATATTAGATGAAGATGTAAAAATAGACTTATACAATGAGAATGAAAATAATGGAGACAAAAATAAGATAAGTAATGTACAGAAACAAAAAAAATATATTGATATTTTTTGTCAGTTATGTTCTAAAAAATTTAATTCGGTTAAAGATCTAAAAGATCATGTAGACGATCACTGTTTATTAAGTGAGACCCATGAAAAACCTCAAAATAAAATTAAAGAAGAAATTTTTTTAAAAACTAAAGTTAAAGAAGAAAAACCAAATTCAGATGAATTTTATGAAAAATCTGAGCCAGATAATTCACAATTATTATTCGACGCTTTGAAAACAAAGTCTGAGCTTGTTTCTCAAGAAATTGTTAAATTAAATTCTAAATCTGAAGATATAAAAACGGAAAGATCTGAAGCTACTGAATCTAAGAAGAAAAGAAGGAAAAAAACAAACGAGCCAAAAAAAACACGAAACTGTCAGTTCCCAAGAGTTAGAAATAAGTTGAATGGAATGAATGACCAAGGTGGTATTTGTTTGGGTTTTAAATTCAAAGACAGTTACTTTGAAAGTGTTATACTGTGTAAATTTTGTAGTCAAGAACTGACGCCAGAGATGATTAATGATCACGCTAGCCATTGTTTGATCCAAAACCGTAATTTAGTGTGTGATGAGTGCGGTCAACAGTTTGACGAAACCGCGGAGTTGAAAAGTCACAAAGCAACTCACTCATCCCAGCCACTGACATGCATTCACTGCAATACTACTTTTTCAAACATAAACACATACAACACACATATGAAAAGACACACACTTGGCAGTCGGTTTAACTGTGAAACGTGTGGAAAAAAATTCTTTTCAAATTCCGAATTGGTACGGCATGTTCAAAAACATTTGAACAACAAAAAATTTGCGTGCAATAATTGTGATGCATCATTTGTGACACGTCCAGAGTTAACTCGGCACCTCAAGTACCACACAGGATTTAAGAAGTTCAAATGTCATATCTGTGGTAAAGCTTATTACGAATCGGGTCATTTAAAAGTACACATGCGATACCATTCTGGAGAGAAGCCTTTCATTTGTCAGACTTGCGGGAAAACATTTATTACAAAATCAAAATTATTAAGACATGAAAAAATTCACGTATCAAAAACATAACAAATAATTGATATTAAATATTAATAAATTAATAAATTAATAAATAATTGTCAAAACAAATAATTCGAGTGTAAATAATATTTTTATTTATTTATTTAATAAAATTAAAAAACTCATGGTAGGTTATTTTTATTTAAAATTCTAATATTCCAAAGTACATACTCTCTGTGTACAAATCCAGTTAATTTACTCATCAAAATGTATAACAGGTGTTTATTACCGCGTCGTCGCACAGTGGATACAAGATACAACTCAACATACATCAATGGTACCTGCTAGTGTGAAGTTGTACTACATACTATATTCGCATATTCTCATCACCAGGCGACCCTAACGAAGCTCCTCTTTATACTCAATCTCTCCTTCTCTTTATCTTTCCACCTCGCTCTTTGTGCTTCTTTGCATACTTGATTACTCGACTGTTTTATCTGCTGGCCATTAGAATGCAAATTTTTTTTAAACAAGTTTTATCTTCGAGCCAGAAGTATGTACATAGTGTGTAACTAAAGATAGTAAAAAAAATTAGTTTAAAGGCATCAAGGAGATTAGATCGATATCAAATGCACGAAAGCACTTACACAAAGGGTTACTCTCATCTATTTTATTATTTTTTTTTTTGCTCTATTTATATCCTCTTCATTACCCTTCACATTTTATAAAAACCCGTCGCGCTTTTAAAGTACTTTCTCTATACTATAAATTTAAAAACATTATACAGTGATGTAATTAACGCCTCAGAGCATCCTTTTCTATGGAATTTCTTCGAGCATGACTTACATATTACTTGGAGCTTTTCTGCATTGAAACTGGTATAGAGTAAAGAGAAGAGAATGCCACAAACTGTTGGGTTTCAAGTAAACCTACCAAGTACCAGCATGGATCCTTATGTAATACTATACAAGTACTCGCTTCAGACTTCGTCCGGATGATATTGTCATGAGTATAATAGTGATAACGCTTTAGATTTCAAGTTATACAATTCGCTGTTGACCTAAACAATAGCTCTTATCATTCGTTGTAACGTTATATATTTTTTTTAATTAATAATCGACGTTTTAATTAACAAATTGTTTAATTCTATTTTAGAGAATCATTTGTACGAAAAAATAATTAGTTTAAAATTTATTATCACTTTAAAAAACAATTTAATATTTAATAGAGATATTATATTTTCAAAAAGGTGTATTTTCATTTTTGATTAAATTAATCGACATACAAAACTGGTTATCTTTAATTATAAATATTTTTATTGAACTTTTTTAATTTAGCTGTAAAGTTCTATCGATTATGAAGCTACAATTCGATTTTCATTAAGGAATCTTTATAATTCTCGGAGTAATTAATATTTAAAATAAAAAACTACTCTTTTAAAATCTGAAAAGATACCCTTTTAAAAATCAGCTCCTCAATTTATTGGACTATTGCTACTATACATCAAAATGTTAAAAAATCACCCTCTAAAAAATAAGGAGAGACCAATTCGGCTGCTCAATTTTAAAACACAGTAACTGCAAAATTTTTTTCTAGTATTGCTGCATTTTTTATAACTTTTAGACCTTAATTTCAAGTATTTTTTCTTAAAAATATTTATATTCAATTATTTTCTATTCACAAATCAAATTTTTCATCAATTTTTAGCAGGCAAACTTTTTTTTAATAAGAAAAATTGAAAAAATTTTTTAAATGTTAGTTACAGTGTTTTGAAATTGGGCAGCCAAATTGCTAATTAGACCGTCGTTATACGATAAGCCCATGAACAATTTTATTAACCCGTTGAAGACACACGGAGTCCAGTGGAACTCCTGGCAAACTTTGAGGCAATTTTAATTTTAGAAGGATTTATAAATGAGACTTAGTCTCATTTACGACTTATTTCATTGATATTCTTGAAGATATTTTTATTTTTTTATTGTACTAATTATAATAAAAGAATTTTATGACAAAAAACTAAATCTTTCTATATTATTTTGCATTTTTAAAAGTTTTATTCTCATTTTAAGCGACTGACCGAAATTCGCAACTTCAAACTTCAGAATAAATACATATTTTTTTTCAAACTTCATCAAATATTGATTTTTTTCCTTAAAATATATTATTTTCCGAATAAAAGTGCGTCAGTTTTTTTTCGATATCGTAAAAATCAAAATTTCTGCAAGTTTTTTTATAAAAAAAGTTCAATTTCGTAATTTTTTTTTTTTAAATGATTTTTCAGTATATTTAAATTATTAGAAATTAAAAATAACTATTAAGATATTTAGAAGGAATGTTATATTAAAATTTGGTGGTAATTATAAGTCAATGCATCCCATAAGAAATGAATTAGAACTGTTTTGATGAGTGGGGTCCACCGGACCCCTGTGTCCTCAACGGGTTAATTTCCGTTTAATAGATTTCAAATGCTCAATATTATATTTTTAAAGAGTAAAGACCTCAACACAGTTAGGTCATTAATAAAACTCGTAATATATGCAATTCATTTAAAATGCTAATTAATCTTTGTATAATTACTCAACACGGAAATATCAGCACCCTTTTTAATTACTCATTACCTTAATTAATTATTAATATTAAAAATTTCAGTGTAATTACATTTTAAATACTTTTACTGTCATCAAAAAATTGAATTTTCAATTATACTATTAAAACGCGATTATATAATAATAAAAAGTTAAATTTTATTTCTAATCATTGTGCTGTTGATTCATCACCAACAAGAAGACACTTTGAGATGTATAACTTGTGTGAAAGTATAACAATAAAGTCACGAGTCTCTTGTGAGCCGTTGTCTTGGTTGTCATAGCCGTTGTTGTCGGAAAGCCAGATATTTTTTGCCTCTACAATTATTATTGTTATTATTTATTTATTTCTTATCTCTTGTTATACTCTTTTTATATTTCTTGCTCTGTTACTAAAGCATAAAGAGTTTTGTCCCGGTATTTCTTGTACATTGTTTTCCGTTGACAATTCACACTCAGCGTTTTTGCAGATCGATCCTGTCAGCGTTGCACAGCACTAGCAGTCGTCTTGGGTTGAAGAAGTGTACAAAAGTGCTGCAACTCTTTCTGAGAATTTCCCAGATACCTTGGGACCACACTGAAAAAAAAAAAAAGATTATCAATTTACGCCTGGTAACGAAAAAATAAAAGAATAAAAATAAACTGCAGAAAAAAAAAATGGCAATAAAAAACAAGATGATTGAATTTCTTTGGGGTGTTCAGCCAACAAGAATTCTTCCAATTTCGTATGTCTCTCTAACACGGCATTTATTCCCACCAGGCCACTTGAATCGAATCCCAAATCGATATACACAGAATATTGACAGTGAAAAAAAAAAAAATAGGAGATGCAGAAAGCATCTGGACGTCTATCACGTGTGCATTATTCAATAGTGAAGAAAGAATTCGGTTAAAAATTTACGACTTTAAGAATACCAAGTATAGTATAGTAAGACTAAGGAGTAAGAAGAGCCAACACAATGACAATGAGCAAAAAAAAAAACGTACTGCTGTAAATTATGCAACTGAAGACAGAAATTCAATACCGTAAATTGACGGTTTTTAAATTTATTAAATAACCCATTTATTAAATGTTTAATTTGCGTTATTATTACTAGAGACAGAATTGAAATTCTCGGTACGCAAAGCAATGACATTTGTTGTATTAATTGCTCGAATGAATCACTGAAAGAGATGAGATTCGCTGGTGAGTTGAGCGTCTAAATTGAGTAGCAGTGCTCAGCACTCTCATTTGAATTATTACACACCGTTGAGTCTTAACCAGTCAACACACTTTGAGGCTCCTCTATCTTTATTCTATATCCAACGGAAAACCACATATTTACGACATCATGTGTGCATAATTCATCTACACTTGGCACTGGTTTCGTTCTGGAGAAGACACCAAGTGCTCTGTATCATTCTCTCTTTCTCTTGGGGTTTTTTGAATAATTTTTTTATCTTCGTACCGACGTTAAACTCTCAAACGCGATCTCGGGTGGATAATCTGATCTGAAAATATTTAGGTTTTTTTTAATAAAGTTACTAGCAACTTTGCAGTCACTACGTGACTGCTCTGATGACTTGTGGACTATAAATATGACTATACTTAAATTACACTGTATTTTGTTAAATATTGACGTTTTTAAAGATATAAGCTCATCCCGATGTTATACTCGTCAAGAGCTTTCATTTGAGTACCCACATGCATTTTTGATATATTTTTCATATATACATATATATATATATATAATATATATAAATATATGAAAAAATGATGTGGGTACTTAAATGAAAGGTCTTGATGAGTATAACATCGGGATGAGCTTCTTTCTTTAGATATGTCAATAGTTCACAAGATACAAGGTCATTTTTTTAACTATTGATATTTTTAAAGATATAAGCTCATCCCGATGTTACATTCATCAAGAGCTTTCATTTGAGTACCCACATGCATTTTTGATAAATTTTTCATATATACATATATATATATAATATATATAAAATATATGGAAAATTGATGTGGGTACTCAAATGAAAGGTCTCGATGAGTGTAACATCGGGGTGAGCTTATATCTTTAAAAATGTCAATATTTCACAAGATACAAGGTAATTTCTTAATTATGTATCTAGAGATAGAGCATTTTCGAATGCAACCTAAATACTTATTATAATAAATTGACTATCGGTGAAAATTATATGAAACCTTGAAAAGGCACAAATTCAAGTCAAGACCTGTACAATGACACTAAATTTTACTAAAAAAAACCGATTTTATTCTATGACTATCCTGGAAACAAAATTTTTCTTATTTTCTTAATAATATAGATTATTTTTTTATTTAACTTTACAGATCTGATTATTAAAATATGCATTCAGTTAAAATGGGTATTGTTCTCAAAAAAGTTCGGGAATTGAGTACTTACAGTTAATAATGAGTTTAAGTACTTAGATTTAAACTTAATATCTCAGGGTTTTAAATTTTCAATCAAGTTCGACCAAAAAAAAACACACGGCTTTTGTTTGTGTTTGTGAAGCTTGATTCGAGGACTTTCGCGTATAAAGCCGGATGCTGTGAGCCACTAGAGCTTGCTAGAGCTCTATATATACGTATAAAATAAACCACTTGCCCGAGATGTTGAGAAGTTAATTCCGTTGTATTACTCGCTGGTGCTTAATCAACTACAACTTAAATAACAGGAAACCTCTTACAGGTAATTTATGCCTGTATTGGCACTGTAGAATACTTTTTGCTTGTTTTATTGAAAAAACGTTGATTTATCGTTAAATTTTAAATCTGTATTAACTTTTCAATTTAATTATATTGAATTTATATTTTAACTCTAGAAAATAATTTATTTGTTAAACTTTGTAAAATTACTTTTTTAATTAACTAAAATTTTAATTCATGAGTTTGGATATTGGGCTTCATTAAAATTACTATGAGTTGCTCAACTTCTATTTGACTTTTATTATAATCTACTGCAATTTCTAGTGAAGTAAAGTTAAATAAAATAAAATTTTTGATTTCAAAAAAATAATTAAAAAATTAAACAAGCGTTTTTTTAATTAAATTTGAATTAAATAACTCAATTGATTAAAAATTTAATCGAGCTATTTGTTAAAACATTTTACATTGCGTCTTCTCATTTTAGCGGTATATATTTACTATAGTAGTCGATAGATAAAAAAAAAAAAAGAGAAAAAAAGAAATTAAGCTTCCTGATTTATAAAAGTGTTAACTATCTTGCACTAAGGTACTTAAAATTATAATTCCTTCAACATTAAAGCCTTGAGTCTTGTTTTTTCTTCTTTCTCATCTAGTTTATATGCTGACTCAAAAAAAATATCAGCTTGCGTTGGCACGCTCAAGATAAATCTGTAACGCAAACTCTTATAATCTCATTGGTAGTACTGCGAGCACGGTAAAACATAGCATAGTGTATTTGCACCATTCTTCCATATATATGTATTCTTCCTCCTTACTCATTTTCTCTGGATTCATCTAAGGAAACGTGAGAATCAAACCACCCGCGCTCATTTTCTCAACTCATTAAATATTCACAGATTTTAATCAAAACTTATATTTTCCCTCTCTAATTTTAATTTTTTACAATAATAATTATTTAATCTATATTTTCAAGAGAATAAGCAAAATTTTGTGGCCAGTGTATTTTTATGATAAAATGGGTTTTTATGGTTACATTTGGTATCGTTGGAAAAGTCTTGATTTCATATCATTCTCACCGATAGTCAATTTATAATGATAAGTATTTAGGCTTCATTCAAAAATTCTCTATCTCTAGATACATAATTAAGAAACGACATTGTATTTTGTGAACTATTGACATTTTTAAAGATATAAGCTCATCCCGATGTTACACTCATCGAGACCTTTCATTTGAGTACCCACATCAATTTTTCACATATTTTATATATTTATATATATTATATATATGTATATATGAAAAATATATCAAAAATGCATGTGGGTACTCAAATGAAAGCTTTTGATAAGTGTAACATCAGGACGAGCTTATTTCTTTAAAAACGTCAATATTTAAGAAAGTACACTGCAATTTAACATAATTAAAAAATTACCTTGTATCTTTTGAACTAGTTACATTTTTAAAGATATAAGCTCATCTTGAAATTACACTCATTGAGACCTTTCATTTGAGTACCAACATCAATTTTTCATATATTTATATATATTATATATATTATGAATATATGGAAAATATATGAAAATGCATGTGTGTACTCAAATAAAAGCTCTTGATGAGTGTAACATCAGGATGAGCTTACATCTTCAAAAAT